TATACATATCGTCATGCATGACAAAAACAATAAGCCAGGCAAAGACCTAAACTAATACTATCAATTATTCATAATTGATTTCGAAGCCTTTTGTTACATGAGTGTTGTACGATCAAAATCAGTCAGCATTTTGCGAATGATATGAACTTTTACTATGAAGTATAAGAAGAACATAACTTCGATAACGAAACAGAGATGAACAATTTCAGATTTCAACCTACAGTCTCACGTGACATTTTATGAACAATGCCCGGTAAGTCAACTGAGGACTGTTCTCTCGACGTGAAATTCCAAGTTCTCTCTGAAATCAGCACAATCGGCAAATCAAGCAACGATTACCTCTATAACAACCTTTAATCCCAACTAGTTTTCTTTCATGACAAGGACTTTTTACTTCTTTGGAGAAAACTCTGAGAAGACTGCGTGACCTTCAGGAATCGTGCGGATACTGAAACAGACCTTGTGTGTTGGACATCCCCCCCCCCCCACATTTTTACTTTACCGTATACGTACGTATATACGGAGAATTATACGTAGTACAGGGAAAGTTATGCTATGATGTGGAAAATCTATTTCAATATTTCAACGGAAATGCACGTTTTAGGGTCCCCTGATTCCGAAAAAGTTTTTTTTCCTTCAAAACGTCCGTCTGTTCGTTTCTGAACACTACTATCGCCAAAACCCCTGTCCAACTGGTTAGAGTCCAATTTTTAAGATTTTGAAAAATATTCTTTAAAATTTGGATGTACATTACATTAAGCCACCCGGACATTTTCAAAATTTTATCAAAAACGACTTCAAATTTTTTCTTAAAATGTCTTGTAAGAATACAGTATAATACACTTATAAAGGTGGCAGAGATCCGACTTTCAGATCTAACTCTGAATTATCGACTTTTTTTTTCGGGCGTCTTCCTACAACTACAGAATTGAAAATAAAGATTTTTCTTCAAGTAAAATTTGTTCTCAATAGTGAGTTCTTTCATTGTGGCCATGTACATTTTTTGACAATTTTAGTAGTTTTCGCGCAATATTGCCAGCAATAGGTGCAATTAAAAAAATACAAAAACAAGTTTTTCTAAAAAACGGTTCCATATTTTTTCTTTAAATTTTCGTAGGGATAGTGCTAAATATATTTATGAGACGACATAAATATCAGTTAGCTCAAGCTATTTTTTCAAACATTATAAAAAATACTTGCCTCTCCTGTCATTAATATTTACATTAGCAGATATTTGTGCACATTATTGTATATATGAGTACATGTGCTTTAAATAATGTCATATAAGTTTGCACATTTTCAGAAACGCTCAAACGCCATTTTCTCAAAAACAGCTCAACATTTTTTTCTTCAAACTTTTCGATCAGATAATGCTAATTGCACTCTTTAATATAACGAAAAATTCTTTCGTTTTTTGTCTTTTTCAAAATGTAGACAAATGTAATTTTCATTGATATATCTCTCACGCCGTACATATGCACATTTCCAGGAGTATGTAAACACTATCGTATTTGTAAGTTGAAGTGCATTAAATAGCTTCAAATGAAATTTTTCAAAAATTAAAAAAAAAAATCTGTGAAAAAGAGGGTCAGATTACGAATGTTCAGTAGCACTTAAGTGTCATTTTCTTAAAAATAGCTGCAAATTTTTCAAAAGAATTGAAATTTTCAGCGATGTTTTATTGTTCTTTAATATTCATAAACTAATATTCCCGTTCTATTATTAGGAAACCAAAAAAATTCAAAAGAATACTTTGGGATTAATTGCAGCTGGTAAGAGTATGTGGAAAGTTCGTATTGCTAGCCTAGACCAAAGGAAATAGAAAACTAATAGAGAACGTCTGAGCCATTCTGTAGCACCACTAGTTTACTTTCTTATTCTGCTGTGTCTCCCTATTTATTTATGTCAAAAACAGTTAATTTGATCTAGGCAAAAATGCTTCCATCCCAACCCGCATTATCTCTCGATACCCCAAAGACTCTCTTAAACCACCTTAAATTAGAATAATTTCCATCCCCTCCCATTAATCAATTCCGCTGCTGGAAAAAATCAAATTAATGCATTAATTTTTAAAAAAATTAAATAAATTTCTTTTGAATTACTGCTCTGCAGACTTTGTTTACGAGGTAGCCGTGTGGTCCTTCTCAACTACTGTCAGCCGAAAGGCCAAAAATTATGTGTAATAATAAATTGTAAATTAAAACCCCTGAAAGGCATATTATGCCGAACAGGCAGAAAAATAAATTTAAAAAAACAGTTAAAAACTGTGAGTGACATGCTATGGGGAGAAGTTAATTTGAAGTTACATTTATGTCCAGAAGCAAAACAAGGGGCCATCTCAGCATTTGCTCGAGGATCAGGGAAACTGGACGAAAATCTGATCGAGATGGGAGTTATTGACCGAGAAGCTGAAGCACAATACTTGTTACAGGTTCTTTACAATTATACAATCCGAATGATATATAATACATTAATGTCATTGTTAAAATTAATATTACTGTCCTTTTGGATGCTTGGATGATTTAATTCCCTCTACTGAGAATTGAATTACGGTCAAGACTGTCTAAAGGAGTCATAGCCAACGAATAGTACGAGTTTTAAATTGCAAAGGTAAGACACCACAAAAATAAAGTAATAAAAGACGTGGAAAATCTTGCCTCGTCGGTAGTTCAAAATTGCCTTCGCATTTAATTGTTGCGATCCAACCTTACTGGAAATTATGCTGCATTCAGACGGCATGTAGTATTGTGACGTAACCTTTCTCTGGGCATTCTGAGCGGAGGTTACGTCCGACCCAGCACAAGGCCAGCCACAGTTTGCCCAAACACTCTAGAGCTCTGACGGCACTAGAGACAGGCGATGCAAATACAATTTCGAATCGGGGCTAAAAAAAATTCTGAAGGTGGGGTGGTGCATTAGGTCACGTGTACGTGACTGCGAGCATTGGAGCACGTGTTATTCTTCACGATTTTGATATGTGTTACAGTTTCAGTAACTTCAGTAATCTCTCCATTCTGTACTTTAAGTTTTTGTTCAGAATGATGAGAATCATAGTAACACATGTGTATTTTTGTACATCAGGATTCTTCTTTTGGTGAACTAGGAAAATAGAAAACGCATTTGCACAGATGTTTCGCAATTATCGTTATTATGAATTTATCAGCGATTTTCTGATTTAATTTCGCTTCTAATTCCTTGTTGACATTTCAATTCATTAATTTGTGTCAGTTGTTCAACAAACGATTTATTTAATTGTTCAAACGACGAAATAGTTTTAGAACAATTTTCATTACATTACCTAGGTTGTACAGCAAATTTCTTTTTTAACTGTTCAAACCGACATGCGGCTTGCGAAGAATTTTCATTAACTAGCCTCGACAGTTCAGTAAGTATCTGATCAATTTTCATGCGGAAATTAGCGTCAAAATGCACTAAAACACCTTGATCAACACGTCTGTTTCTGATTTGAAGTAGAGGGAGCCCCGGCTGGAGTGTCACTCCATCATCTTCCGGATCACGTCGTCGCTACTCTATTTCGAGGGCGCACTTCTCACTCTCACTTACGGTCAATCTTTTGAAGATGTGAAGAACTCAGCGTACTTTTCTAATGCTTTTAATGGAACACAACTGCTGGCTTGCAAACCTGGTGACGTGACCTGGAAAATCGGTTATGAATTCAAATTTCAATACACATACGATTACAATAACTTGTCAATCACTCTGAGAAACGTAAGTAAACATAATCGTAAGTAAACTAAAAATCTTTCAAACTTATACACTTCGAACTTGATATCACAACGGTTATGACAGATCTAGGATCGCTGGCTTCAAGTGTCTCCAGTCTTTAGCGCCTTCTCTACAATGCGTGAACGTGTTTTCCTGCTATGCCATTTTAACTTTCAATTCCCTCAAACATCGTAACAAATGGATATTGAAATGCAAATAACAAAAACAAGAAATTTATACAATAACGCAATAAATCACTGCTGAAAATCATATACTGAAATAACATCATAGGACAGGCTTTCATTTAACAGCACTTGCACTTGCACCACACGAATTGGCTATTAATAAAATCTCCTCATTTGGTAGTGACAACAATATTAAACTCTGGTGTTGTGTTAAATCTGTAAAAAACGCTCAAGTTGGGCCCAATGAGATGTAACCTCGCCCATGGCCCTTTCAGGGAACGTTACCTCAGCATTGCCAACTACATCTTGCCCAAACACTCGCCAGATCAGCTGACTGGGCACTGTACTACTGGAGACAGGCGATTCAAAATAAATTTCGAACGGGACTTAAAGAAAGGCGGAATAGAGCATGAGATCATGGATACGTTTTCTGTAGTTGCCTGAGAAAGTTATTTTATTATTGCAAGTGTAATGTTTTTCAAATACATCAGTCATGAAACAGTGTAGGGTTCTACAATTAACACCACCTAAGTTAGGGATGAGGATAGGACAAGGAAAAGGAAGAAATGATCGCGGGTGGTCCGTGGCCCATTTGCTAGGTTTGTTAGAGTCCGGCATTCGCCTGGTGTTGATCGGAGAAACCACAGAAAACTACCGATCAGAGCAACCGGTCGCTAGAATTCTCCCCCAGACAGCGACTAAATTCGACTTAGCTGTAAAGTAGCCAATGTCGAAAATCCTGCCACCGTGGGGACTCGAACCTACGACCTCCGGATCACAGACATTGCAGTGACATCACCTGATGCTCTGAGATAATGATAACCAAACAAAACGTGTTGGTATGTTGTAAATATAATTCTCACGCAGATGCAACGACTCTGACAATTCCATTTTTTATTTTATCACCGACAAATGTCATAACTTAAGAAGGCGTGTTTGTTAGTTTGATTAAATTGAGCGACTGAACGTGATATTGCTCAATTATTTGTCCAGTCCTTCGAAAATCCAGTCCTTCCATTAAAAGCAATTCAGCCGTTAAAGGGCACTCAGAAAGTACTTTTCATCAGATGGACCGATTGACAGAGAGCCATGTTCTTCGATAGGTGGAAGACCACTCGCCAGACGCTGACGCCGTCTTTCACCAACAGCAAGCTGAAGCCCCTGCTGCCGCTCATGGAGGAGGTGGCGGCCGAGTTGGTGCAGTACCTGCGCACCAACTGCCACACCTGCGGACCAGGTACTCCCGCTACCCTTCCTACAAATGTTCTTCCCTTTAAATCCAGCGGGCCTACAAAACACTAGACAGTTTTTGCGCAGTGTCCAAGCACACATGGTAGCGTGAATTATAATAGATAAGCAATTGGGCATTGAACATTTCATGAGATAGTTCCGTTCTGAACGTTTTCTTTCTACTTTTTGTAGTTCTTAGTATTTGAAGCGTCGGGAAAGAAACTAATCAATCTATCAACGTTTTAGTAATTTTTTGCCGTTATTGTGAAAGTTCAGTAATTGTAACTAAATCAACCTGATCAGAACTAAAGCAACAGTTCGCCAATTTGTACTTGTGTTTCAAGTCATAAGTGTTTGGGTTTCGTTCAGTTTTGTGTTTTTTAATCTATGTCCGTAGAATCATTTATAAACCAGTTTTAACACATTGGTAAACATATACTCAGAAAAATGTCTAAAATATTATATTTTCAACCTTTATTTCAAATGTTAGGGCTTTTTGAAAAACTATCTCGTTGTCCTAGAAGGTTGAAACATTGTGTACTATTGGAACCAAAAGGAACAGGAAAATTCTCGTGGAGCAAGTTTAACAAAAATGTTTTTTGAGACGCACTAAACATCTCCTTGTAGGTGATAGTGTTAAACACAGAGTGTGCCTAGTTCGCAATTCTATTGTTCTTTGTTCATGGGTAAGATCACAACGATGTGTCACCAAGTTTATAGTTTCAGTCTACCGGTGGTTAACAAATTTTTGTTAACACTGACCTGAAAGAAGAATTGTAGCAAGTTAAAGATTTAATCTCATGTTGACGAAAAATATTTAAAACGGGAATCTGTATAGAAGAGGACATTAACAAACAGTGAATTTTTCCTTCTTTAAAATATTTATTTTTGAATCAATAACAGTTCGCATATAAGTAGCATCATCAGTTTTCACATCAATATGAGGATGAATATCGGGCGCAATATCATTTAGCATAAACATTAGTGACTAATTCAGTTGCAAATATCGAACATATACGTCTTTGAAAGTTTCATTCCAAAACCATTTGTATCTTTCATGTATTAATTTTAAACTGAGATATTAATTCTAGTACTTTTTCAACTTTAAGATATCATACGATTTGATGATGTAGCACAAGATAGCCAAGTCTTATTACTCGAACTAAAGAGTCATGACTAGTCACAACTGAACTCTTATTCTGGCCACGTACGCCACGATTGCCTTGACCGCTTTAGTTGAGAGCAGGAAAGAGGGGTTGCCATGGATGCAGTCAATTCCTGGCGAGTAGTTAGCTTCTGCAGAAAATTATGCCATAATTTACGATAATTGCATATCTAAATCTCTATAAAGTATTTAAGTAACTGTGAGTGTGTGTGCAGATCCGTCACTCAAGGTGACTAAACCACTTCCCGTCCACCATATGTTATGTCGTTCTACACATCTCGGTCTCCTAGTGGGGGTACTGATAATTTGTTTTCGGATCCGGCCAGAAGATTCAAAGAAATTTCCAAAAACGAGTTTTGGCGCTGCGATCTTAGTGAGTATGCCGGAAATTAAACCAACGCCACCTAAATAGATCTATGCAGGTGGCGTTAATTGAAACTCAGAACTTAGAGGCATAATCGCTTCACGACGCCATAATTTTCTTTCTCGTAGATGGCAACGCTGATTATTGCCAACTTTAAGTGAAGAAGTGAATTACCGCGTAAATCGCGCGGCAGATTAATTTAATTTTCATTCCTGTTACTGTATTTTTAAAAACAAATTTTGCAAAAACCTACGAACAGTGTTGTCTTGGCACTCGTTAAATTCGAAGAACTTCATGTGAATATGGAGAAAACAAAACTGCGAGTAATGCTAGAGAATGAATGAACGTTCTTACGTTCGACTTCTCACATTTTCATTCTGTGTGCAAATACCGATTTTCAAATGAATGTGACTAACAACTTATTCTCATTAAGCTTAACTAACACCTTTTTCACATAAACTTACACAAAAGTTACCTACTATGTTTACATCCATTTGCCTACTAAACAATTAATAGAACAATTGCAGAAGAAAAGAACACACATTAGACTGAGTTTGTGGAGTTTTTAATCTCTTCAAAAACTATGGGGATGAAAATATGGAAGTGTTAAGAAAATCTGGAGTATTTGTAGAAGCTTTTGCGACCGAATTTTCGGAACTAGTTGAAAATGATATCATATTAGGAGTAGAGGATAATGCAGAAGAATCGTTTACATATGGTCTTTTCACAAAAAAGTTTTACAGATGCATATTAGCAAAAAAAAAGCGTAAAAAAGCTTACAAGGTCATTGGGTGTTACGGGTTTTTGAACGGGAGAATAACATTAACAGATACTACGATTCATTGGTAAGTCCAATGTGAGATACTGTAAGAACACAAAAGAAGTAATATTTGACCAAAGCTATGAATGAAAGAAATGAAGTAGGAATAACATTTTCAATGGAAATACTTTCAAACAGTTACCTGTGTCGGCGACGCCACTTCAACTAGTTATTAATAACTAGCTTAAAAAGGCGCTTCCAGTGGTGTTCCAGTGGTCAGGTTGACTATTTTTACTTTATCGCATACTGCTTACATAGTATTTAGAAAGTATTATAATGTTGAAGAACAAAGTTCGACAGAAAATTCCTTCTTTTGACTAAAAAAACTAATTGAAGGACCTTGGTAACGAGAAAATGGATAAATCTTGTTCACATCTGCAGTAAATAACTTCCTCCAACACGTTGTGAAGGCAGAATTCACGTGTGGTGAACTCCTAATAGTAACAAAACTCGTGGTGTTTTAGCAGTTACATATACATTATACACATGATGTACAAAGTACTTCATCTGTAAAGTACAGCATGTACTTTCTCCCGACACTTTCTTGCAAAATAAAAGACGCAGATACATTTATTCAAACTGGAATCGGGTATAATCCGGTGGCAACTAATTACATGAATAAGATAGTATATCTAACACGCAAATTATACAGTAATAATAATAATTTTAACAATAGTAACAGCTATAAAACTAACAACAATTGTATAATAATAATAATATAAAATCTGACTGATTCATAAACATTAAATTTCCTCAAAAAGAAGAAATATCTAACTCCGCACTGAATGTTTGTTTAATTAGGCGAAAAGTACTCAAATTTTCGAAAATTGTAAATTACCTTATTTCAAAATCTATCTTTAAGGAACATAATTCATTAAGGAAAAAATCTCTATCTTGATCATTGCAGTTGTAGGGAGATACCGAGAAATTTTTGATTTTTTGCAATTTTCGAAAAATAAGTTTTTCCTAAAGTGAGACTTGCACCATTTTCCTAAATTCCACACTATCCAACAAAAAAATTTAATGAAAAACGACGAAGTCATTTTCTTGAAAATTTTGAAAATGTTCCATTGGCTTCATGTAAAGCACCCCCACAAAAATTAAAATATCTGTTTTAAATTGAAGGGGCCACGACATCAGCCAGATCGAAGGGGAATAGGTGAATCTTCGGGTGCTTTCTGTGATTTTCCCGATCAACACCAGGCGAATGCCGGAGCATTACCCTAACAAACGGGCCACGGACCGCTTAGCTATCTTTCCTTTCCATTCCTCATCCTCCCCTCACCCCTTACATGCACTCCACTACCACACATGCCGGGAGACCGGTCGGGAGCTTGTCCCGGCTGGGGCGGTGCACCATCCAACTGTCACCTATGGAAGAAAAACTCCCTACACGTACACGACTAATGACCTTAGCAGTTGACGCAGTTCACACACTCAAAATGTTTAATGTATGTGGTCACCTGTTAAAATTATTTATCCAAGAAATTCAACATTTTTAGTTTTGTTTTCGCTAGCAATATCGCATCTAAACCGCAACTAAAAACATTAAAAGCAAATTAATATACCATTTATTGGAATACACTATTGAATTAAGCATTACTTTCTGAAATATGGAGGTGATACTATTTCTTTTATTGTTTCCAGATGGATTTGAAGCAAAAGATCTTTGTTCCAAGTATACAATGGAGATAGTAGCCACAAGTGCGTTTGGTATTAAAGGGCACTCGTTTCAGAATCCCAAAGCTGAACTAAGAGAAATGACCATGCAACTTTTACAACCTGGACTAAAGAAAAGTATTGAATTAATGTTAATAAATTTTCTTCCTTCACTGGCAGACCTCCTTAAACTCAGGTAACCACTAATATTCTTTTTATTCTGTAGAAAATGTATTTTGCTCTATAGAGCCAACAGTATATACAAAAATCTGTCTTCAAGATGCTAGATTTGTTAACAGAAGTGTGTAATACAAAAAACGACAATAATAATAATAATAATAATAATAATAATAATAATAATAATAATAATAATAATCCTGATCCGATGGCCGAGATTACTAATGGAGTAGTGCCTAGCGGTCTCGGCCCAGAAGATGTGGAGGTGTGGGTCTCTGTATGTTTGTGTGTATCTATATCATTGATAATAATAATAATAATAATAATAATAATTATTATTATTATTATTATTATTTCATCCCATCCTCCAGGGCTAACAACCCTGGGGTTGTAAAAATGTTGATTCTCCCTATAGAAAAAGTAATGTGCACCCACCCCGATAATCAACTCTGAACCCAGGTTTCGTATAGTGTGGCCCAATGATGGCCGATTCGCGAAACGAAACAAAACATAGTAATAAAAATAATAACAGTTGAAGACATTTCGTAGTTGCAGATGAAATACTGCGGTAAAACACATTAGACAAAATGTTTCATTCACAAATTGTTTAAATTATATTCAATAATAAAACAAAGCCAAGCCCATTTTGGGAACTTTTGTATTATTAATCGTTCATCTACGAAATAGTTAACAAACCAATCTTACATAATTTTTATGTGTAAATAAGTCTACAAATTGATTGAAAATATGGTAAAATGTGAGTTGTTGCCCAATAAGCATGGATTAAACATCGAATATTCCGCATCCACCGAAGATCAACATCTATATGCGTTACTTCCGAGAGCAAACTTGACTAAAATGTTTACTCCTTCCGAAACAGGATGAACGTAGCGGGATGGAGTCGGGCTATGCCTTGTCAGGTAAGGAAAAGCGAAAGAGAGGGCGAGGGAAAAGTGACAGCGGAAGTCGGCGATTCCCGCAGCGCGCACTCTGCGAGTAACGCATGCGCCCACGGCCCTAGGGAGGAGGGCGGGCGAGACAGCCCGCCAAGCCACCACGCACAGGCCACGACCATCAGAACACGACCCGACAAACCGAGCTCGCTCCTACCGCAGCAATCGGGCAGGCGACAATCCGGATATTTCGCTGTGTTAAGGTTGTTTCAAACCTCAGGGATAATTTAATTGGACTCTATGCTCACCAACTCTAAAAAAAGTTTTATAGAACTCTTGTGATATTGTTTTGGAATATAGTTCAGCTTGACTTGCCATTCATTTTTCCACCAGTCACACAATAAATTTGGCACTATCATATGTTCATGTGCCGGTCTCTGATAACATCCTGTAATAAACTGTTGATTGGGCATCATAGTACATGAAAACACTATACTTTTGTACTTAGTAGCTCACCCCAAGGTTATTATTACATTTTATGTTTCTTTCAAATTAATGCATTTCATTCACATCCAATTTCGTTTTTTTCCAGAATGATGCCAGTGGAAGTGGACCAATATTTTCGAGGTGTGGTACGAACCGTGGTTGATGAGCGCGAAAAGAAAAATATTACAAGAAATGACTTTATGCAGAATTTAATCAATCTGAAAAAGAAAGCTGAGGAAAATGGAGAAAGTATGTTTAATTATAATTTCTATTCGACTACATCACTGCAAACAATGTCAATGTGTATTTTGTATGTTGGTTAATTCCATTCAAGACCCAAAATGCTTGACGATTTATAATCGGGTCAATTCAGAATTTCTCCATGTTGGCTGTAAATAATCAACAGTCTAATGGTTGGGCTAGAAATTTCGTACTGCCAGACTAAGCCGTCGAAAGCAACCTCTGTGGATAAATTTGAGTTGATAGGTACGACATTTATTATTTCATCCTACATTAGTCAATGTTTAGCTGATGGAGTTGAAAATTTTCGTTGGCCACATTCTCTTCGCTTTACTGTACCACACGGAAATTTCACATTGCATTATGCTAACCAGCACATCATGCACTATATATCACTCATTAGTAACTTTTAATCGCAGCTAATTATAAGTTATTTCTGGAACAACGGTCACGTTCAGGTTATACTGTGAATCTTGCTGCCGCAAAACTGCACAAATATCTAATTGTTCTGACAATTAACTAAGCAAAAATGAATGGGAAATTAGCGCAAGTGAACTTGAAGGCAAACCTTTACAGCTTATTCGGACGAGGACATCACGGCGCACGCGGTGACTTTCATGACGGACGGCTTCGAGACGTCAGCCATCGTCCTGAGCTTCGTCCTGCACGAGCTGGCGCGCCACCCCGACGTGCAGGAGCAGCTGTGGCAGGAGGTGGCGGCGGCGCGGGGCGCCAACGGCGGCCGCCTGCCCTTCGAGGCGCTGCTGGAGCTGCCGCTGCTCGACCAGGTCATCCACGGTGGGTCGCGGGGCCTCTCGGCTCCCACGTGACGAAGCTATTCCAACGCCGCGCTCTCCCGCAGCACCTTCTTACAGGAACAAAAACACGAACTTCTGCCGACGATACTTGAAACGTGCGTGGCTGCTGCGTGGGTTCACCAGACGCAATCAGGCACATAATGTTACAAAAGATAGGGTCGATGTTCGCGATTTCTTCGGGGGTTTCTTATTTGTATGTACTATAAATAAACATTAAGATGACACTTTTCGAATTTCTCATAAATTAGCCAATTTTATATGCGGATGTTGGCGAGCCTTACCTGCAGCTGCAGTCGCTTCCTATCGTAGCTTCCTCCAGATTTGTCCCCGGTTTTGATGGAGAGTTGCAAAGCCCTAGTGAGTCTCTAGGCAAATCAAATGCCAGAACGATGCCGCGTGGCAACGAGCTAGAATACACTACTGAGAGTGACTGGCCCTATGGTTTCAGCGCTCTTAGTGAACGCTCGATGAACTAGGGGCCGCCATGTTTTTTTGCAGTCAAAACATGACATGTGCCTTATGGTGGCGAGTAGAAATGTACTGAATCGACGTGTTGTTTGTATCAAATCATATTTCAACGAGTACATTGCGCTGCTTCGGCACTTGATATTTTTTGAAGGAAAATACGAACAGGAGATCTCGCCTTCAACAGCAAATACACTTTATTACGCGCTAATGAAGATGTGTTTGGAATGTTGTCATCAGCGCTCGCTGCGGGCGTTCGGCTGTTAATTGTGCCAGGGAGGGGAAGGTAGGCCATCAGTCAAGAAAAGTAGCACTGATAATAATTCTCATCGAAGGGACTTTGGGAATTGTCCGAACTAGTCGGACATTGCGGAGCTAGGAGACGATATATCCGATAATTTCTAAAGCACGCGTGTAATTTAATAAGACTATTTCATAAATCAAAATTGAATTTAATAAGCTAGTTAATTAATAAACATCATGCAAATACATCTGTAATCTTAATGAAGTTCAATTAATCCATGCGCCAAACTTTTCTCACTTTATGCACGATCTCTTGCAACAATAAATCTCAATCTTTTCGTAATTTTGGAAAAAAGGAAGTTCGACGAAAATGGAATTAGCGCCATATTTTTAACCGGCTGTTACTACATACGAGGAGAAATTATAAAAAAGATGGAGCGGTTTTTGAGGTACATTGTCCTAAAAAAATTAAAATTGTTTCGCCTAACATATGTTTCGTCATGTTTCGAAAAATTGAACATGACTTTAATTGAAGGTCTGTCTTTAAAGAACAGATTTCATTAAGGAAAAATCTATCTTCAATATTGTAGCTGTAGGAAGATGTTCCCAAAAAGTGCACTTTTGCCAGATATTCGTAACACTGGCGAACTTCTCAAAAAGTTTTAGCTTATCATATGTGTTTGAGCTTATCATAGGTGTTTTGTTCTTGGCAGGCTTCCGGTCTAGAGGATACTCGCCTCCTCTTCTTCCTCTGTTCCTGATATAGAGAGATTACTATAAGAGATTGCTCTGACAGCTACTGCTTGGCCACTGCTGGCAACGTAATTACATGTTATGTCCATGCTGTCACTTTGCCAGTGCGTTTGTTTATAAATTGAATATGGCTGCATCACTATCTCTTGCAAAGTCCTCGCAAGCAGTGACAGTGGCCCCCTGGCCGCCTTGCAGAGACGCTGCGGCTGCACCCGGCGCTCCCGGCCATGGAGAAGGTGTGCACCAGGCCCATCACCCTGCGGGCGGCGGACGGCACCGAGCTGCACGTGCCCAAGGGCCAGCTCGTCGTTCTGCCCGTCCTGGCCTTCCACAAGGACCCGCGCTACTTCCAGGACCCCGAGCGCTTCGACCCGGACCGCTTCTCGCCCGGCCGCAAGAGCGACATCCCCAAGTACATGTTCTTGGGCTTCGGCGGCGGCCCGCGCCAGTGCCTAGGTGAGGTGGTACACGAGGTAGTATATATTATCTACAACGCAATACACAATCAGTACTTTCTGGCCGTTCTATTACATTTTTAAGGTTCCGTCACTCGGTAGCACTGATTGCCCTGGAAGTTAAAACAATGATTTAAAAAAGTGTATTTAGAAATTCCAATTTTTGCGAAAAAACCTTTGAAATCAGCTACATAAGAGGAACAGTTGTGCAAACATTTGAAGGAACCTTGTGAGAACATTTGATAACGTTTTGGGCAAACATGCAGGGGGGCATGAGGAGACCTGTGGTGTACATGTGAGAGGGCCATAGCTGAAACCACAAGATTAGGTGGCTCAAACATCAACTGACGTCACTGTAGTGCCTCGGATCGGGAGGTTCTAGAGTTTAGTTCCGATGGTGGCGGAATTTTCGACTTCAGCTACACAGCTAAAAGGTCGCTGTCTGGAGGAGAGCTCTAGCGGCCGGCTTCTCTGATCGATAGTTTTCTGTGGTTTCTCCGATCATTGCCACGCAACTGTCGAAGTAATTCACTAACAAACACTTATATACACTACACTACCACATGTGTTGGGAGACCAGTAGGTAGCTTGATCCAGCTACGGTGGTGCCCCGATGGTAGGAGATACCTGGTTTGGGAAAGCTGACGTGTAGGTCAGAGCTAGATCTCGCCAACTATTGGCGGGAGACCACCCTCACCTCCCGCAATAAAACATGCACTTAACTTACGGGAGTAATGACCTTACAGTTGACGCGCCCGGTAACACACAACATCAATCAATACGTGGAACAGGAAATGTGGTGAAAATGCTGGAAACGTGGTGAAAATGTGAATATAAAAGGAAACTTGCGGAGGAAATCCTAGGGGTTCTGCTGGAGCTAACAATTATATGAAAATGTAGTTGGTGACCTTTGCTCCATAGCAAGGTGATTAAAAACGAGCAGTAACTATAAATATAATTGTAAAATTAAATTGACACATTAATAGGCGCGTCATGACGGCCGTAAAATATTTCTATGTACATTTCAAATTCTCGCTTGAAGTTGACACACAGTATGAAGCTTTTTTCACTTTTAAAAACAATGATTTACAAAGTGCGGAATATTCGTCCAACTAGTTCAACTTTATTTGTATAAATATGTCCTTGCTCTTTCCACAGGAATGCGGTTTGCCCTGCAGCAAACCAAACTCGCCATCGCTACCATGGTGGAGCACTTCGTGATCAAAGCCACCCCCAAGACGCCCAAAGTGATCGAGCAAGACCCCACTTCCTTCCTGGCGTGCGCCAAGGGCGGGCTGTGGGTGCGCTTCGAAGAGAGACAGACTTCTCTCTAACCTCGAAATATTGCCAGGAAGTTCTTCACAAGTTACGCGAAATCTTTCAAAGAGCCGATAAACTTAGACTGTTCCGATAGATGCAAAATCACTCGCCTTACAGAGAGCATTCATCGCAATAGACTCTTCTGGATTTCCACCTGAATTCAGATGTAGGATATGTTAAAAATGCTCAGAGTCGATATTTGAAGTGTTTTACATTTACACCTGGTGGAGAAGTCATAGAAAAATGTCTCAGTGAGTGTATTATATAAAAAACACTGCGTATGAAATAATAATTTTATTATTATTAGGCTAAGACGTATGAAACTACGCAAAAAGAAAGATCTGACAATCTGTCCTTTGATCGTATCTATTTTGATTTCACAGAAGTAGTAGTCTTCGAATATCATGTTTTTATAAAATAAGAATGAAAAAAGACGAAACTTTTTTCCAAGAACAATTCAAATTGAAGGATAATAATGAGACGAGATGTCCTCCAAGTAGTTAATGAGACTACAGGAATACTTGACCTGAAACATATTAATTCACTCGTAGTATAGATTAGTTAACAATGAAACGAAAAATTTTGATTATTAAATTTTGAAATAGAAGAGTACACTGCTTTAAAATATCGAGATGATTATTCACTTGTTTTTAAGAAAGTACAATAGTCAATTAATTTCGCGACCCACGTCCATTTATATAACTTTTGTATTAAGTATATATTGTCGTATGTTTTATTAACACAATTTTTTATATTCTGACATTTTGTAAGTACAAAGTTATGATGTTTATTTCTATGTTGAACAATAGAAATAAATGAAAACTGTTATCTCGATGAGATATTTCAGTTTCTTAATTAATTACTCTAGCCTACAAAAAATGCTATTCTGTAACAACAAAACACTGTTTCTGGAAGATAATTTGCCTCTAAATTCAGATCAAATTTTCTATATAGGCTTCAGGTTTCATGTGATGATGATTTTGTTATTACATATGTCTCCCTAGGTATTACATGTATCTGGCAAAATTACACTCTCTAATAACAATAGAACCGCATGAATACAGTAAGAAACACCACAACATAAGTATTAAGAAAAGTGAAGAGAAGGCTTGAAATGTTTTACAGAAGACTTTAATGTTGGGCCAGCATGTATATCTCCTCTTCTGTCGTCTGAATGTTTCTTCACTGTAGCATTAATTTTTATTCACTATCACGTTCTCAGGAGGTAGTGGTGCCAGCAGTTCTTTTTTGGGACATACACGCCTTATAGCAGATGGTAAATTGGGACATTGCACAGTTTTCTTCGTTTCTGAGGGGATTACAGCTACTTGTGTTAGACAAAAATAACAGTCTGTTGTGTGATACATATGGCTGCCTCCAAATCATGGGAACAGCAAAGGACATGCATTTTAACTAGTATGTTAAGAGTGTCACACTCGACACACAGCATGGGAGGCGTTTCTTGCCGTGGTCGTCTACCTTACACCCGCAATAAATTTCACATTTCCTTTTCAGAGGATTAAGATTTGATTTTTGTGGTATCAGAGTTCGTTTGATTTTAGTGGTATCAGAGTCAATTATCCGCAGATATAACATAACATATTTGTGCTATTTACATACACCGTCTTGAGACATTTCTTTTTCGGAGTTAATACAAATCTTTACACACCTAGCACAATAAGCAGTCATATCCAAGCCGCTTTCCATGCTTTCAGAACTCTCAATGCTGGGACGCGGCTGGGGTAAGAAACACAAGGCGATTCTATCTGTTCCAGCATGACCCACCAGCAATGTTGCCAAAATTAAATCCCTTCGATATCTCGCCCTAACGAGATCTCACTTTCTCCCAGTTCCAGCCAGTTCAAATACTAAGATTGAGACCGACATATGGTAGAGAAAGTGAGAGTCAAATCCCAGGCGCAATAGGGGATCGCCCACGTGGTGCGCCTGCTCAGATAAAAGTACCAAGACTCTCGTCGGAGATAGACTTCCAAAGAAGCCTGGGTCGAAACCCGGGTACGGAACAACTGCCTAAGGGCAGTCTCCCGCAATAAAAACCCATACGATAAATAATTAAATAGGAATGTTGCCGGACCTTTTTCATTTCCTAAAGGCGATTTTTTTAAATTCAGTGTCATCCATAACTTGTACACATTTAGATTGTTTATGAACAATTACATCGACAGAATTATTAAATAAAGCTTCAGCAGAATTTCCTATATGCAGCATTTTCAATTATTTCCGTAAACAGAGATTACCGTGTAACAAGAAATCTGAATAAGAACATCATTCATATTCTTTGTTACAAAAATGCTGTTGATCAGTGTTATCAGAAGAGCTTTACCACCTCTATCCCTGCCTTTCCTGAAACTTTCAAATATATTTGCACATAATTCACCCTTAATGAATTTTTTGAGCAATTACTACTATAAAGTTCTCGGATGGTGACAAATATCACGAATATAGGCTTTTTCAGTACTTCAGTCAGTTTTTCGTAAAGACATAGTGAACTTTGATGAACCTAAGTCTTTACTTTTTCACCTTATCGGGGATTAATGCAAAAAAGTCTGTGATGTCAAAATGGGCAATAGAGTTGGGATCTGTAGCTCCGAATCGATGGCGTATCTTCAAAATTCAATCACACACTCGACAGACAAAGGATCCAAGAATTTGACAGTGTGAGTGGGAATAGTTAGGCATTGTGCGTAAAGGGGGGGTGCTTTGTAATGTTCCGTCAGTACAGCGCGCCAGGCAAGTCTCCGCAGTGGCACCTTGCTGTTGAGAGAGCTTGCAGCAGAAATTATGTTGGTAGCACGAGCGGAGACTTGTAAAAAGTAAATTTTGTTATCACCACTGTCATAAAACATGCTAGTATTGTAGTCCCCTTCACTTGTTTCCCAGAGATCTGGTTGCCACCAACATAAATTCGATTTTTAATAGAAGATCCTGATTCGGCTCAGAACGGACAGACTTTCCTGGAGCTTTCCTGAATTAAGTTTGACTTGGTGAGCTACGACGTTCACATATATTTCAATCAACAGCTTTTATCAATGCCTATCGAAGGCGTGTTTAAAATCATTAGTTTAGAGTGGTTGTGTAAATTTATTTGGAGTTAAATCAAAAAAGTAAGACATCTTAACATACTGCAGTACTACACTTGCGAAATGGGAAAGTCTATATAAAGAATCCAAATACGGTTGGAAAGAACAAATCAAGAACTTTCCAATATTACCTAGGAAGCCCCATATTATTGAGTAAAACAAAGCCGGGAACGTACACAAGTGGTACTAAAACATAGCACAGATTTTCTTATATTATATGTAGTATAAAAATTTTAAAAAATAGTGAGATTCCTTGGTATTTATAGACAGTGAACTCAGTCTTAAAATTTATATTGAATAACTCGAACATGCCAAGGTTCTATCTAAATTCATATTCAAAAATTTAGAAAAACATTTACTTTTATTTTTATTACTTCACATCGACACCAGTGGCGCAATGTTCGGACCCGCAAGGACCGCAGTGCTGGCACGCTCAGGTCAAAGAAGACCTACGCACTAAACCTTCATGCTGAAGGTTTAGTAACTGTAAGAAATATAAATACTCTCTGATACATTGCGATAGTTGATGCAATAAAAGAATATCGTCGTTTAGAATAACGATTTTCCCCCTTTTCGGTATAGCTTACCTGTCTCTAAATCAAGTTGGGTAAGCAATTCATTTAGATCCCATAAAAGTCTTAATTTCATAACTTTAAATAATAAAGGCAGATGTGTCCACTAATGGTTTTCAATTATAGAGTAATGAATTCGAAGGATGTTTTTAATAATTTTAATAACATTTTTAATAATAATAGAATCATATTTTTATTATTTCGGTCCTAACACTACATGTGTTTGCTATACACTTTTATAAAATGGTCCTGGATAAAACTTCTGCGGGAGGGCCCACTTTTAACTTTTTACGCTATTAACACATACGTTTCGAAAACACTTATTCCTACTACACGTGTTTGTGAATTGTATATAGTATGGTATGTGGTTTTGTATTTGTCACCCAACCAGTAATTTTCAAAGCCTCGAATTCGCTTAACCTTCGTGACCTCCCGTAGTTAACGAAGAATGAGTCAATTTAATTTCATGTAGATTGCTAGTTTCTGGTGCCCTCGGTCATTCACGGTTTCTTTAAAAACTGAGGAACAACAATTAAAGTTCGGATAATGAATACAAAATGCAAATATTTAATTGTGTTGTTCTGCTTATTCTTGTAATGCGCACAATGATTGAACTTTCATAGTCAACGCGTTACTGCTGACAACTGCGTTGCATGACATCAACACAGTTTACGTCATGCGAGAACATGCCACCAGGGAAGAAGCCGCCCACCACCAAAATTTAATATTTGCTAAACAACTGTTCCGTTATGAATCAGCAACATATTTAGAAATGTTATAATGTGTATTCATATACACCATACTATGTTTTTGCAAAATTCTTGGAGACTTTTTGATTAGTGTTATACGAAACTATTTTATTCGTTTTTTAATACCAGTATGCCGGATACTTTTTGAAAAAAAAAACAACAGACAATTCGTGTTTTTTGCTTAGCAGCATTTTTGTTATTACAGTTGTTATTAGTCTATACATTTAATTTCCAATGCTCCGATTGCTTGATTAGTGATTCCGGGCGTGACAACTGCTAAGGACATTAGTTCCGTAAGTGTAGAGCAAGTGTTAACGTGGGAGTTGGAGGTGATCTTCTCCCGGTGAATGGCGAGATCCGTTGTCGACCTACCGTCTACTACAGGGCATTTCCCCAACCAGGTATCTCCAACCGGAACAAGCTCTAAGGTCCAGACCGGTTTGCCCGCAATGTGTGGTAGTGTAGGGTATGCAAGTGTAAGAATGTGTACGTAATGGTGAGGATAATACAAAGAAGAGCCATAATTTGAGCTTAAGGCCTTCGAAATCCAGGTTTGTAGGTTGTAGGACGCAGCGTTTTTATGTTGTGCACG